GAACCTCCATTTTTTCAACCCCTAACTAGACCCCCGTCTAGTCTCCCAAGGACCTTTGGGAAACACTGCTTTAAAGAGAAAATGGCCTTAATCGAGATAAGTTGTTTTATCAAAATGCCACAAATCAGTATGCATGTATATATGTATATAACGGAAAAATGGAAGCTGGAAATCAGTGTTGCCACAAAGATTTTTTATACCAAAACTCTAAAAAAAATGACCAAACTCAGAAAAAATGACGAAGTTTTTATGAACATAATAGTCTGAACACATTAAAAACACGAGCTATGTGCCACCGCCGTCAAACTATTATTCCACGTATTTATATGTAGATATATAATTATTTTGGCGGTGACAGAGCTACACCACGACTTTGGTTGTGGGCAGCTTAGATGTATTTATATTTTCCGAGCGACAGACAAACTTTTACTGCTGTGGTCGTCGTTTTCAATGTGTTCAGACTATGACAATTCACAAAATATTTTTAAAACATAACACAAAAATCGCCCAGAGAATTACAAACATTTAAAAGATGTTTAACATATAGTCTTTTACGTAAAGTACTTTACATATCTTAAAACGAAAATATGAATTTAAACATGAAACAGCAAATGTATCGATAAACGATAGATAAAATTTACTTTTAGTTTTATGAGCGCGTCACATTCGTATTTTATTGCAAAATTGTAATTAGTTCTGTAAAGTTATTTTCTTTCACCATTAGTTCCAGCAGGTAAAAATGATCCAAGAACCTGTTTTCTGGGGCTGTAGGGCTTGTGGTCGAGCCGCCATATTAGGAAAAATTGGTGCTTTCTTTAAATAGCTATACTGCGCACTCATACTTAAAGCAAATTTTTCGTTATGTGAAATTGTAAGAAGGTTAAAATTTAAAATTTTTTTAATTTATGAATTGTTGTTATTTAGTCTGTAAGATTTTGGAAATCATAGACTCGAAATAAATAAATAAATTACCAAATTAGTCCTAAAAAGAAGAAAATTACCAGTTTTGGTAAAAAATTAACAAAGCGGCAACGCTGCTTGAAATATCGGCATGAAAGGTTTAACAGAATTCGCCAAGTTCAAGTTACTAAAACTTTTAATGAATGTAAGTGCAATTTTCATTTTCAAAAGAAACAAGATTTTTTCACGAACTAGTCATATCTTTAAAAATAAACCAATTCATTTCCCACGATTTTTTTTTCATTAAAAAAGCTAAATGAGAAACATAATAGCTTTAAAAATATCGCTAAACTGCTTTACGAAAATGAATTGGCTTGTATTATTAAGATCTTTGCAAAGTTTTTGAAAATTTTTAATGTAAATCTGAGATTTAAGACCCCTAACAGTTTAATTTTTCTATATCTTTTGATCATTTTTTGCAGAAAAAAGTGTGCAATATAAATTTTTTCATGAAAAACGCGAAAGTTTTAGTTTGAAGTCGGTCCAGGTTATGAATGACGCTGCACCGAAATATTTGGTATAAAACCATGGTGGAATTATACAAGGTGTTGTACGTAGTGACAGCTCATGTCGACAGCTCCCTTACAAAAGGTTGTAATATGGAAGCACGAGAGAAACGGGAAGAAAAAAAGCCCGCTTTGCGAAGTAGTACGAAATTTGGTACTATTTTTCATATAAAATTTTGCATATAAATAGTTATAAACGGTATATTATGATAAGCTAAATTCGCGAAAATAGTATATATAACGTAGTACTTATGCAATAAATGGTAATTTAGTTTATTAAACACAATGTCCTATAATTATAGTCAAACTTCCAAAACCAAAAAATTAGTGGTGACCCCGAGTCGTTACAACATGACGGAATCGACAAAAGGGCGCATCGACGGATGGGGAGAATATTTCATCGAACAAAATGCCAACTAAAGATGTGGAGCTTGCATCGCAATGCAAGCTGCGACCGTTCTGAACTGAGATGCCAGACAAATGGTTTCTACAAATTGAGGCCACCTTTCAGTCGTACAAGACCACATCTTATGTCGGTAAATATAATCTGGTCCTCTCAGCAATTAGCAGCGATGCTTTAAAGGAAGCTGCGGATGTTTTAAAAAGCTTACCAACTCAAGACCGATATATTAACCTCAAAAGTCAACTACTGTCACGTTTTACTGATTCAGCCGACCCACATAGGGTATTTGGCTGATTTAGGCATATTTTTATCGCTACAAACATCAAATATAGTTTTAGTTATCGAATAAAACATTCACTATAACTACCCTGTTACTAATAGAAAATTCAATCGTAGTGAAATCTTATTTATTGTTAATATTATTGTGGCTTATTAACATTTGTTTCCATATTGCTATTGAGCTTTGTAGCACTATTATGTTTTTAGGGAAAAGGGAAAAAGCAACAAAGTCTTAGCGGTAGAAGTTACCAAAAAAACAGTTATATCGTTGGTAAAGCAGGGCCAGTGGCAGTGAACCACAGACGGGATTGCAGCAGCAAAATTCACTGGGGAATAGATGCATAGTTAAATACGTAGTTCTTGTTTAAATCTTCCATCTAAACTTACCAAGAAAACAGTTATATCGTTGAAAAAGCAAGGCCAGTGGTAGTGAACCACGGAATTGCAGCGGAAGGAAGCACCGACCAAAATAACTACAAATCCTTGGGGAGAACTCTAAACCGATGTTTTTTTGCCGAATTAATGTTGAAATTTCTAATTTAATTTTCAGTTGCCAACGATAAGAATAGAGTAAATGTCAAAGAATTGTTCAGTGATTGCAAATCAGTTTTGGAATAGGGAATGAGGTAATTTAGTACTTTTTTAAAGGCGATAAAATGTAGTTTTTTCAAGAGGGAAACACCGATATAGCTAAGGGAGCCAAGATGGCGGATTAGAGCGAGAACGCTGTCAATATCCAACACCTTGTATTATTCCACCATGGTATAAAACTTTAAAATTTTTATACAACGTTAGGCATTTATCTATGACGTATGACGCATTTATCTATGACGTGACAGTAACATTTTTCCAAAATTCGGAAAAAAATGGACATACATACATATAAAAAATGAGGGCTCTATGCGAACCCAGCGATCCATATAAATCTTACTGTAAAGCTTAGTTATGGATTACTAACTTCCCATGTTTAAAATGCAGAATTTTAACAACTTTTTCGTATGTTTTCTTTTTTTTCCTAGACCTCATATACCGACAAAGGACCAAAGGTGCGTAGAAATAAAAAGTATAGCCTCAAGCATATCGCCACCTAATGGTGAAAAGGTGCAAGTCCCTTTTTGTTTCTAAATTTAGTTTTTGATGCAGAATGGCAGGTAATACGAAACTATATCGATTTTTCGTCTCTCCTTAGGTGCCGATATGCAATTTTTTGTCGTAATTTTATTTTTAATATTTTTGTACGTAAACTTTTCAGCCGAAATTCGGCAAATTCCTAAGTTTCGATCATCTGACCTTCTATGTGGGCAATGCCAAACAGGCAGCCAGCTACTATACGACACGATTCGGTTTTACACATGTAGGTTATCGGGGTCTCGAGACGGGCAATCGTCGGCTAGCTAGTCACGCTGTGAAACAAAATCGCATAATCTTCGTGTTTGTATCTGCCTACAAACCCGCCGATGCGGAGCATGGTGATCATTTGGTTAAACATGGTGATGGTGTAAAAGATGTGGCTTTTGAGGTTGAAGATTTGGATGGAATTTTCAAGTATGCAAAAGAACGTGGTGCTGTAGTAGTGCGGGATGTTTGGGAAGAAACAGATGAATATGGAAGCGTACGATTCGCCACCATTAAAACGGTGAGTGTGAAAGCTTGAACAAAATAAAAAAAAAATTAAAAATTATTCCCACCCCCTCTATAATTTGAGATTTTAATCTTTCGTTGATATTTGTTCAATCCCCAGTACGGCGACAGTACTCATACATTCGTCGATCGTACTAAATACAATGGCAAATTTCTGCCTGGCTTCATAACACCCGCGCCCGACAATCTACTTAAAGGTTTGCCGCCCACAAAACTTGACTTCATCGACCACGTCGTTGGTAATCAACCTGATTTGCAGATGGAGAGCGTGGCTGCTTGGTATGAACGCGTTTTGCAATTCCATCGTTTTTGGTCAGTCGATGATTCTCAAATACACACTGATTACTCTGCACTGCGTTCCATTGTTATGGCCAACTATGAGGAGAACGTAAAGATGCCCATCAATGAACCAGCAAAAGGCAAGAAGAAATCACAAATTCAAGAGTATGTGGAATACTATGGTGGTGCAGGTGTACAGCATATTGCACTCAACACCAGCGATATTATAACAGCGGTGCGTAATTTACGTACCCGGGGCTTAGAATTTCTAAAAATACCAAGTTCCTACTATGACATTTTGGAAGCGAATTTGAAGAATAGTCGTACAAAGATCAAAGAAGATATGGAGCTATTGAAAGAGTTAAATATTTTAATAGATTACGACGAAGATGGGTATTTGCTGCAAATCTTCACTAAAAATATGCAAGATAGACCAACCTTGTTCATAGAGGTCATTCAGCGACACAATCACAATGTGAGTATAGAAGCATTTTTAGTTGAACCAACATATGTAGTAGGTCCAAACATATCCATGTTTATTTAATACAAAGTACATATATTCATAAATAAATGGGTTTAAATAGACTTGATTTGATGCAAAGGTTCATTAACTTAATGTGTATACTAATAATGGCTATTTCCAGTATTACTTTGCTTCGTTAAAAAATAAAGAACTTTCTTAAAATAAAGTTAAATGGATGCATATTGAATGTACCTTACTTTTTGCTAGAATCGTCCACATGTATCCTTAATTTAAATTTTTGTTCTTATTTTGACTGTGATTTATTATTTTTTTTCAAGGGTTTTGGCGCTGGCAACTTCAAGTCCCTGTTTACGGCAATTGAGATCGAACAGGCAAAACGTGGCAATTTATAAAATTCAGTATCATATGCATACATACACGCTAATCCTTAAGTAAAAAAAGATGCATAGAAATTTAATATAGAATATATTTTTACATTGGTAATGCAAAATAATAAAACTAAAATTCTAAATCACCTATTGGAATTATTAGGTAGTTTATATCACGATTTATCGCCATAACGCTTGCGATGCAAACATGGATCCACAAGTAGCGTTTTATTGCGTGGATCACTATCGGAAAACGAAGGCATTAATGGGTTCCAGTAATCTGGCGGCGTAACTGGTATACAATATTTCGAAGTGCGATGGAGTGTGCAACGGCGCAGATGTGCCTCGATTTCTGCCAGGCTCATATTGCTGCCCATAAAGTCGATATACTAAAAAAATACCAAGGGATAATATATTAATGTATTTTCCCTAAATAGCTGAAATATAAAAAGTAAAAATTACTTTTTGACACTCATCACATTCTATGTCAAAATGTTCTTTTATTGATATTTTCGCTGCAGGTAGCTGCGAAGGACGTGGCTTAATGTCGAGTTTGGTTTCGCATTCCAATTTTGTTGTGGACGATTTATCTGCCATATCCTCTTCTTCCTCCTCTTCCCATTCGGCTAACATAGCTGCAGCCAATTCCCTAGTTGACTTTTCTTGTTTAACTTTTACATTTGCAGTTTTTTCATGATTCACTATCGCATTTCTTGTACCCTTTTTAGTTTGCATCTTATTTTCTAGCACCTGTTCATTGTCATCTGACTCGTCTAAGCATATTATTGGCGGTGCTGTAGGCGTTATAGCCAAAATACTTTCGGACTTTTCTGTTTCGTGTGGCAATGGTTGCAAAAATGTTCCATTAATGGACTTTTGGCATCGCTCTTTCACTGCAGTTTTAGCCTTTATTGATTTAGTGCACTGATCGTCTTCGTCATCACTGCTAAAGTGGAATATGTCGGCCGTATCACTGGAAAATGACGGAAAATCTAATTTTTGTTTGCTAAAGGTATCAGCAGGTAATGTAGGAGACAGTGATAACTTCTGTGCGTCCTCTGCATATTCTGGTGTGGTTGGAACGCTTTCCTAGTGGGTGAGAATTTAAGGTTTATTAAACCAAAAGTTGTACATACTATAGATATATTATAAGCTGACTCTTAGCTTACATTTCGAAATTTATTTGCCCTCATCGGCTCTATTTGCGTTAACCGCGATTGCTTCAATTTGCGTTCTCCACTTTTATTTAGCGATAAAAGGGCGCGCTTGCGCTGTATATCGTCCATACCGGTAGATACTCGTTTTACAGCAGCTTTACGCTCTGCCCCTTTCGGGCCTTTCCCCAACCAATCGGAACGTTTTGCTTGCAGCTTTCCTTTATTCTTCCACAGTCTACTATGGACATCATCTTCACTCTCTTCGCAATTGTGTTCACGCAGCTTGTGTTCTCGCATGTCACTAAGCAAAGCTTTGCCAACGCGACCACGCGCCTTTAAAAATCCTAAGGCGCTTTTATTTTCGTTATTAGTTTTTACTTTACAAGTTGGCGAAGTGTTGTGCTGGAAAATACTATCCATTGGAATGGATAGTCGAGTCGGACTGTTTAATTGCTCTGTTGCAGCGACTATTTCTTCCCGATGCTGTGCTGGACTTAAAACGCAAGAGGCATCAATTTGTAATTGTTCACTATCCATTGCCATATTCAGAAATGCGGGCGAACCATCACTAATGGTAGTTCGATCCACATCAGACTCCTTTGGAGTCCTAATTTCTGTGATACCTAATAGCTCATCGTTTACGTTAATCCGATCTTCCGGCGTGTATGGCGCAAGTTGATTTTCGGATGACTTTTGTGGCTTATTTTTCTCCTGCGTAATCTTTTTTACTTCAGTTTGCAAACGTTTGCAGTCTTTATCCAGTTGTTCACATCTATCACGTTCTTTAATGCAACTATTTTGCAAAGCTATAGAAATTTAGTGAAATTAGTAAATTGTTTATTGCACCATCATGCAATTACCTACCATGAACATAGCCAGTGAATTCTTTCATGATCGATTCACATTTCTTCACATATAAATCAACCCAACCCCTATCCGTTAAGTCGAAATCCCGTTTAGCTGGTGGCATTGATATAATTATTTATGGAATGTTTTTCACGCAAAATTAAAATAAATAAGAAACTGAATGCAGTAAATGCACTTGTCCAAAGAAAAAAAAATTGGAGCTTTGGCCACACTTTGTGGTATTGCCAGATTCTTGAAATTTCTACAATCAGCTGCTTTTGACATAAACAGCAAGTTAGGGGGCCCAGCTGGAAATGTGAGGTTTCCTCAAAGAAAAAGTTGGTTTTAAATAAAAAGTTTATAGAAATAAAAAAGTTGTTTGAAAAATGGCGCATCTACGCGAATCGGCCGACAAAGCTCTAAAGATGTTACGTGCATTACCTCGTGTTCAACTTAGCAATATACGCCCAAATCCAAACTCCAAGAAACCTGTAAGTGTTTAATGGAAAAAATGAAAAAAATAAACAAATGTTAACATTTTTAACATAAATAATGTAGACGAAACGTGGACGTGCTCAACACAGTGGTGATAAACACGGCGCAGGAAATAAGGGTTCAGGACAGCGTCAGAATTATATGCGCCTTGGTTACGAAACAGGCAACAATCCCTTCTATTTGCGCTTCCCCTATGAGCCATATTACAAGGGCCACCACGTGCGTCGTCAATACCCACCAATATCACTATTACAGCTGCAAGTGTTGGTGGACACGAACCGCATCGATTCAAAACAACCCATCGACATTACAACATTGTGTAATACAGGACTCTTACAATTGCAGCCCGCAAGCATGGAATATGGTTTTCAGCTAACCGATGAAGGCATAGATCGTTTCAAAGCAAAAATCTGTATTGAAGTACAGCATGCAAAAGAGTCTGTGATAGCTGCAATTGAACGAAATGGTGGTGTCATACGAACGGCTTATTATGACCCCAGAAGTCTGCAGGTAAGGCAATATGATACATATGTGTTTTATGACCATGTAATAAGCTTTATTATTATTTCCTTTCTGATAAAAAGATGCTGGTGAATCCAAAAAAATGGTTTGAGAAAGGTGTTCCTATTCCAAAGCGTTTGCTACCACCACAAGATGCCATCGAGTACTATGTATCAGCTAAAAATCGTGGCTATCTCGCCGACCCCGAACAAATAAGTAAAGAGCGCTTGGTACTAGCACAAAAGTATGGATATGAACTACCGCGTATTGAAGATGATCCCGATTATGAAATGTTGATAAGCCAAAAAGATGCCCGACAAATATTCTATGGATTGGAACCTGGATGGGTGATAGGTCTCAAAGACAAGATTATTGTTAAATCAAAGGGCTTCCCCGAAGAACAAGCCAACTCTGAAAAAAAGCGCGAGGATAACGATGCCAAAGCAAGTTAGATTAGTCTTTAGCATGTGAAAATCATTTTGTTCGCAGTAAAAATAAAAAATCTTGCTGTAATTGGGTTTTTTTTTAACAAAAAGGAGTATATTAGTTGAATTTAATTATTTTTTGGATAAATTGAAAAACCCAGATATCTAGCAACATAGGTATTTAATAAGGAGCATTAGAATATATAATATTGTAAACATGAAATGGATTTTAATTAAAAATAGCTCTATCAACTTTCCGTGATTTTTTTAGCTAGGTTTAATCTACTCTATAAAACAGTACAGCATAATTATTGGAATATATAAAAATGTCTTTATATGAACACTTGTTTAGCAGACAAAGTGTCCATGAACGGCTTGACCACAGCACTGGTGGCAAAACAAAATATTAAGCCAAATGTAATAGAAATGGGTAGAGCAGGCAAAGCTTTGCGCCATATAGCCAATAATAAAAGTGTTAAACAAAGCCCAATTAATATAGCCACAAAGCAAGCAATAGTAGTGATCCAATCACCATAGCTGGATGCTTTGCCAACTAGCACAGAGTAAAATATGAAATCACCAAGACCCAGTTTGATGCCGCCTGAAATAAAATTTAATTGTAAAGTAGACTACGATTTCCTTCGAGTTTACGTACGTTCTTGCTCCTCAAGTGGCGTGCCGGATGTGTTTGCCCTAGCAGTAGTTGTGCGATACTCAGTTGATCGATTAGCATTTTGTCCGTTGCTAGCCTGTACCTCGATTTGTCGTCGCGAAGTACGTTCATTTTGGTTATCTGTCCATTCTTGGGTGAATCCGGCTTCTATATAATAAGTTAAAACTTATTTAGAAAAGTATTTTTTTACGATTTTGAAACTTTTGCACTACTAATAAAGGCAAGGAAATGTATTAACTAAAATAAATAATAAATTAATCCAAATGTAAACTATGAATGAAAAAGAATGAAGTATTAGACAGAGAAATTATAGTAAGTAGTTTGCTAAGGCTAAATACATAGTGGAATGGCGACCGAAGCGAAGAGCATTGCATCGAGCAAAGCGTCGATTACAAACGTGTATATTTCAATGGGAGTGCATATATCTACGATTTGTTGTTCACTATGTGCGCTCCCATTGAGCTATACACGTTTGTAATCGACGCTTCGTCCGATACTCTTTGCTCGCGGCTCTACAAAGTTTCTAGCTATATCGTTACCTTAATATAGAAAGGACCTAACTCATTTTCTTTCGAAATTCAGCACTATACTAAAGTTGTAAAGTTACCTACTAAAGACTTAATCGAATTTAAAATCAACTATATCAATAAATTAGTTCCAACATTTATTTAAAAACAGGGTATGGGTAAACAACAGAAACTGAAGAACTTTACTTTTTATAAAGTGGTATAACTACGCTGCAGAGACAGGAGTGTTATATAAGGCCTTTCTATATTAAGGTAACGACATGCACAAATATACATAAGTGCAAACAAATTATAATGAGGCAGTCGAAAACCCACAAGCCACCAATACATCAAAAAGCGCAATGAATAAAATTAAAAAAAAATATTTTGGGATAAATACCATTTCCGCGGATTTTAAATGTGACAAGAGGCATACCTTCGGCGGCCTGGGCTGCGTCGTCTTTCACCTCGTTATTGGTATTACCTGTGCGACGTGCCGAGCCGGCGGAGGAAGAGGCTTGCTCTTCGCTGACTGCTTGTGGTGTGCCGTTCTCGACGCTCTCGTCACTTTTGCCACCACTCGCTTCATTGGAAGGCTTAACGCCCATCACTGTGTACATAACAGTGGCTAACAAAGTTAATGTAAAAAAAAGTATCAGTGAAAAAAAGATCTTTCCTGCTAAATATTTTCTTGAATGAACATATAAAGCAGTAAACTTACAAGAATAAATTAAAGCAGGAAATATTTGTTCATTGCGTTCTTGAGCTGTCTCCACTAAAATGCGCAGAGGTCCCTTCGGTGCGAGGACAGCAATCAAATCTAAAGGTTTCAATTTGTTTATTATATTCATTGAGTGCCTGCTTTTTACATACCCCATACTGATATCGCTGCCAACACAGCCCACGCCGTCCATTCCGGCAGATATTTAATAAAAACCAATGCCATTAATGCAGCAACAAAAATTAGATATCCCTGTTGTAAACGCAAAGGACCTTGCCAATGTATGGCCATCATTCCGACGACACCGAAATTCCAAAGTATCATTATCGTTGTGGGGTAATCCATTGGAATATTATAAGCGCGTAGCAACTCCCTACAAAAAGATAAATCATAGCATAAGTTCAAATAGTGCGATATTTGAAGAACTTACTCAAGATAGAGATAACTGAAAATAAATAGCAACATGAATGAAGAGAGGATCAGCCAACCATGTATGATTTTGTAGCAGCGTTTTTTGTACAGAACAATCAACAAAATAGTCATTGCTACAACTACACCCATGAGAATCATAGAGTTGGCCAAAGCGTTCCAGAATTTAACGCCAGGATCAGGCGATAATTCATGGAAAGGTGTATACAAGCTGTAAAAAATACATATTGAGCATATACGTAATATAAAAACTTTTTCATATTACAGATAAACATCTGTTGAAGAGTAGAAGCTCACTGCATTTATAGTAGCCACAACAACAAGCATACATAGGGATACGGGCACGAACAATTTAATAACATGCTGAGCTCCATATTTTAGGCCCTCTTCATCTAGTTCGTCAGCAGTAGGTCGACGTGGACAGCCATCAGTCGCGCTACCACCGTCCCCACCACCAGTTCCACTGGCTCTGGTCCGTCGTCCAGCTGAACGTACAACTACATTAGGTACTTCCAATATAGCCTATAAAGTTTTACAGTAGTTATATGTACATCAAGTCTAATTTTAATATTTTTAATTGAATATGATTTTCATCGAGTTCTTACCCCATCCACTTCCTCATTTGCACCATAATTGTTTCGCTTCCGATTTGTCACACCGCCACTGGCGCTCAAATGCGTACTGCTGCTAGCGCCGACGTGTCCGTCCATTAGTGGCGTGTGTTCGTTCAAGACTTCCTCACCTTCCGACGCCGTTGTGTTTTGCTATAATTGCACTATTTGTGTATACGTACCCCTTGCAATAGAACAAGTGGGTTTATAACGCGATGTATATACAACACCGTGTAACGGTTTAAAAAAAAATTACTTTGCTAAAACGACTATATTCAAATCTATACCATTATTAATCTTTATGATGCAAATATTCCAAAACGAATTCAGTTTTCAAGATTATGAATGAATCAGTGGAAGAAAAATTAAAAAGAATACAAAAAGAAACAAAGGATACAAAACAGCTGTTTTCCATGGTTGTATTTTTGAACTCGTAAATCGTATTTTTGTAATCGTAAATCTGTTCGAAGAACGAAGCATGATAAAAATATAGTAAGGTAGAACCGCTGAGAGTTACTTTTAAAATTCTTGACGTTTCCAAACATTTTAATTTTTAAATTTACTCACAAACTCACACACACATTTTCATTTTCAATCTCAAGCAACAACAATTTCGAACAATTTCAATTTTTTATTTTCAATTTTATATGATTTTAAAATGCTGGCAAACTTCAAAAAAAAATCATGGCCGACAAAATGAGAGAACGGTTCTACCTTGCTATGTTTTTATCATGGAACGAAGTACTCCAGTGCACGAAAAAACGTTTGAGGATAGTTTTTATTGCACTAACCCTGCGTTTACATGAGACAACACAATTGAGAATATGTATTAGTTGTCAAACTGTTGTATCAAGTAGGCGTAGGCGACAATACAATTTTCGGCAACCGCCGTTAGTGTCGCTTGGAGTAAATTTCATATACCCAAAACATATTTTTCATAATTCTGCAACTTTTTGCTGTTATGTATTGCCTAATTAATTGAGGAAGATTTAATTGACACACAAACAAATTTTCGGTTATGGGTAAACCCATTCAAGTTTTTGTATTGAATTTTTGTTTTAAAATTTCCTTTTGCCATTTCAGCGACTGGAACACGGATGTTTGTCAAAAGCATACGATTTCGAACACGCGTATATGTATATTTTCTAATGCGATAGCATGAACGGTCTTCGAAAACATATGTTCGAAAGTTCTAAATGTTGCATTTTAAATGCAGCAAAAACCTTGCATTAACTCTTACTTTTAAATTTGATTTTCGCTTATTTATATTTTAAGTGTACTTGCTTTAGAAATAAGTTTTAGATGTAAAATATTTTGTTATCTTAATGTGTATCCAATGCTGAAATATATCTTATGGTTGTTGTGTTGGATATGAAAAAAAGAAAATAAAATAAATAAATCTAAAAATATTCGCTCTGCAGCTGCAGAGCTATTTATGAGGTAACTAAGTAAATTAAAAATGAATCAAGTCAGCTATTTATACATAGTTCATTTAAAGCATTTTTCTTTAAGCTTATTTGACCCCAAAATGTTTAAATATTTTCGATCAAATTTTTAAAGCTGCCACTGCATACATACATAAATATTTTCTCTTTTTCATGTATCAAAATTTGTACTTCGCGTATCAGCTTTGAAGTATATGGTGCAACGGCAACACTGGTTGTGCCATGTTTGCAACACTTGCACCAGCTTTGCATCAGCTGTTATATGTGAGTATCTGTCATGATCACAAAACATATGGTTGCAATTTTTGTAAACAAACAAAATTGCATTTTCCGAGTTTTGGTATTTATATGCCTTTTGGCTGCCTGCTATGTGACTTTATGATAGCGCCAACTAGTTTTTACTTCTAAAAATCTTTCTGGCGAACATTGAACGTTCACTTTCCTTTTTCCTTCTATGGAGACAACATGAACTTCAGTTTGTTTACAAATAAAACATAAACAAAGTCAGCTGGTGTGTCTTCTTCTTCCGGTTTTTGCAAGTAATGGCTAATTTCCTGTTCGTTTACTTTTTTGCTTTTTCATCTCTTTGGGAGAAAATTTTCGCTTACTCTCTTGATGTTGATTGTTGGCTGGTGTTGGCTAATTTTGTTATCGAACGCAACTAATATTTGGCGCGAATTTTTGTTTATCCAAATTTTACTAGCAGAAACTAGCAGGAGAGCCAAAAAAAGAAGAGCGTAAGAACGAGAGAGAGCGGCTATTCTGCCTATTCTCGTTGTTCGCTTTGTGTTACCGCAGTATTCGCCACAATACAAGGTGTTATCGGTTGGCAACTTCTCGCTCTAATTCCGCCATATGGACTGCCTTACTGCCATCCCTAAATTGGCGCGTCAAGCGCCAAGCAACTGTCAAAAATCCTCATGGCCATACAATTTGTATGAAACATCCCACAATAACGCGACGCTAACGCCGAGCAAATGGAATTTTCATTTTTGACAGGGCGTTACGTGTTGAAGTTGGATGCAGAAGACGGAAAGAAAGAGAAAGGACAAAAAAGTAAAAGAGGAAACGAGAATAAAAACGAGAGGACCTGAGAAAACGTCAAAAATTACGACGCGTTGATTTGGGGATAGCGCGCGCTGACACTCGTTGACAGTGGATAACGCAACGCTTGGCGCTCCAATTTAGGGACGGCAGTTAGCTGAAACGGTGTTACTTCTTCAACAATTCTTTGCCTAATAATATAGATGATTTTTTTTTTTATTTTTTCTCAGTATACACATTTTGTTTTCTCAAAAAGGTATTATATCTTATTTTATTTAATTTCATTGCGAATATACTATAAAAAAGCTAATTTTGTTTAGAAGAAAATATGAAATCTTATATATTCCCCCAAATGGGCATTCATTTTTTCCCGTTTTTCTTCTTATTCTACGGAGCTAAGGCAGTGTCAAATCGAGTTGTCACAACTGATACCAGCTTGTATTATTGCATCATGACAGATAACGGCTTGTATTATTGCATCATGATTCTGGCTGACGTTGGTAATTTCGGCGCCATGTTATTTTTTTTGAAAAGTAAACAAAGAATATGAAGACGAAGCATAAAGAAAAAATGCAAGCGCGCAATGCAATGCACGTGTTTTTGCAACCAATCACTGCGCACTTAATTTTAATTATATTTGCACAACAAATTTATTGAAAATCGCTTAAAAATTTCTGAATAAACCACTTACAAAATACACATAAAGAAAGAAGCAAAACAGAAATAGCAAACTTCAAAATTACGAACGTCACACACTTTTTTCTCAATTGCTATTACAAATGGCTGCTTCTCAACCGGTCAGATCTGTTCTAGTTGGTTCATGCAATGCTAGTATAACCAGAAAGGAATTCTACGTAAAAATACTGCGGACCGAACTCCCATTTTGGGTGGGTATTCTTTACTTGTTCCTATTCGTCTTTATAATATTCATACGCTGCACACATAATACTCATAATTGCTATTAAACTTATAAAATTATATAACTTATTATATTCGCCTTTATAATATTCTTACGCTTTGAACATCTGGCAAGACATTTCGAAACGTATTCCGCCAACACATTAGGCACACTGCACACGGGTCGTACGGCGATGTACGAATGCCGTACGCTTTTTTGCCGAACGCGGGTCGCCAGCTACGCGTATTCGTCAAAGCAAGCGAGCTGCAAATCACCTAGCGTATAGCAGTGCTGTTCGCTTGCCGTACATTGTGGACAGTTTTGTTTGTGTGCGTTTGCATTTTTTATTAGGTCGGTGTTATGCAGACAAACTTTTGTTTGCCAAATTAAATGGCGGTTGCTTAGTTTGCTCGGAGGTGGTTATGTCGAGTTTGGCACAGGGTTGTCCGTTCATTATGGTTTTCATGGCTATTGCCAACACGAAATGAGAATTTCAGATGTACATAACGCGCGCAATTTAAGATTTTTGTATATGACAACACCGAATTTGCTGCAGTTTGACCAAACAAAATTAGTTTGCTGTGAGAGTCGCCAAACTCGCTCTCTCCGAGTTTGCTACAACAACAATTGCACGCAGTTTGCCAAACAAAATTTCTGCATAATTACACCAACCTTAAACATGACAGAGGGAGCAATTAAATTTGTTCAATTTATTGAAAAGAATCCTTGCATATACAACACTTTGCAGTAATATTCCAGAAAGGACATAACTGAAAAAGCTTGGGCAGCAATAGCCCTGGAAATGAACTGGTCAGGTAAGTACAGAGAAAACATCTTTTTGCATTTTTGTAGTTTATTATTATTTTATAAAGAATAGTTCCGCTTCCATGGCAAAATGTAGTAAATGTGTCTTAATTTATTTCTTCGCAGTGGCTGATTGCAAGGAAAAGTGGAAAAACATGCGAAACGGTTTTGTTAGGAGTTTGAAACCATCTCCAAGTGGCTCTTCTTCTAAAGCAAAGAAACCATACTACTTGCACGACATAATGAGCTTTGTGTTGCCATATGTGAAACCTGTGCAACATTTAGAGACCACCTGTAATTTTATATTGCCAGATTCTGATGTCCATCACTATGACGATGTGGAGTGCACCGAAAATGATGAATTCCATTGCGATGAAATGCCGCAAACCTCCAAGCATTCACAAAATACCCCGTCCAGTGTGGAAAAAAAGAAAAGGAAGAAAGTGGAAGAAAAGGATGAGGTTGACGTCGCGATGCTGAACTATCTGCAAGAAAAAAACCTAAAGGCCGGTCCACATAGAACTTTCGTGTTAGCTTTGGCGTTGGCGTTGGTTTGACAGAACGCACGTTAAAAGTATGCTTGCTACAATGAGCGCTTGGCAGCGAATGCTTGGGCCACTACATTAATATACTAACGACAGATAAATTAATATTTCATATCAATAATTGCATTAAAAACGATATTTCTTGCCCGCACTTGATTAAAAAGGAAAATATTTCACATAATTTTATTTATTTGCAACAGCTGACGAGCGACGCACGCGAAAAGATGAGAGTTGGCCATCTTTTTGCTTTGTGTTGGCGTGAGCGTTGTCGAATTTTGGCTATGTGGACGGCTGCATTTGAATTCATGTATTCATAGTCAGCTGTTGAAGCGACGCCAACGCCAACGCAACGCCAAAGTTCTATGTGGACGGGCCTTAAGAAAGACGGCCGATAATTCACGTAAAATGTTCCTTTTGAGCTTGCTGCCGGAAGTAACGAGTCTTTCAGATAAGCGTTTAAGACAGTTTAAAATCCGTACATTGCTCTTACTGGAGGAATTGATGTCTGCTCAGGAGCAAGAAGCTGCGAATCAGCAATTTGTTCCACGTGGAACAATTCAAGTGAATACGCCAGCTCCTTCGCCCATTGATCCATTGTATGTATGTACACTAGGGTGGTCTAAAAAAAAAGGAAAGCCGGAATTTTAATGCCGCCACCCCGTAAGAATTTTCTATACTGAAAGAAATATACTCCTACTCTTTATTTTGAATTCAGAATATATTTATAGAGTGCTCAAAGCGGTCAAAGTTTTCGATGCATTTTATATGAAGAAAACCAGCTTTTTGTAGAAATGGTATAGAAGTCTTGAAATCCAATAAATTTCCAACCGAAGACTTTGTTTATTTAAGGACACTTTCAATAACAATACCCAATTGTTTATTTTACCATTTTTTAATAGAACAATCTTAGGGGGTAGCGGCATTAAAATTCCGACTCCTTTTTTTGGACCACCCTAGTGTACACTATCGATTAAAATATGGTTCATGCTCCAACCGAAACCACTTATGCAGTTCTAGTACAACTTTTTAGCGGCTATAAACGGCATAAGCGGCATTAAACGTGCATCCAGTAGCTAGATACCTGAAAGAAAAAAGCTACTTTGTTTATAAACAATAATTTTTTCACCGTGGCTTATTGTAAGGAGATATAAAACCATCTCCAATGGACTCTTCAGCGAAAGCAAAAAGCCTGTGACACATACAGGCTGCAGAAGACGTGAGAAGTCTGGGCTCAATGTGGTCGAGTTTAAGTTCCCGTGTTGTTGACCATATACAAACGTAGCTGCATGAAAAATATCGTACGCGTCTATGACGATACGCTTTATGTGCAGTGTACCTTAAGATGTGCGGTCATCTTCGTTTTGGTCATTGTCCATACTTATACACTTAAATTATTAAAATCCTTACTAATATTATAAATCCGAAAGTGAGTTTGTGTATTTGTTACGCTTTAACTGCTCAATCGATTCCCATTAAACTTTGTACACTGGTGCCATTTAGACCAACTTAAAATATAGGATAGATTTACTGCGTTATACTGAGTTTCGCCCGAAAAAAAAATAAACCCGAAAGTTGTCATCCGCCCATAGTAAAACCATGAAAATCAAAAGTGAAAAGTGAACCGGTTCGAGGAAAATGAATCTCATGATAAGGCTGTTAATCTCGATTATACGAGGGGGCGTGGCACCTCCCATAAAACGGAATTTTTATGCCGCATATCATAGCTCATAAAATTTTTTTGATAGAGTATAGGAACTTGGCATGATTCAATATTGAATCATGGGAACTTGGTAAAGATACATATGTATATGTATATAAAATTAATTTCATACTCATGGCGGAGGGCTGCCACCTGTTTAAAAAATCGAAATCGACTTGAATTAAGGGAATTATTTATTTGAAAATTATATTAAAGAATGGATTACAAGAGGCTTAAAAAAGTTGTAGTTTGAAAGAGCGAATATTTAAAATATTAAAATATTTACAAGCGTTTCCACCCGTTGAAAAAATTAAATTAATTTAATTTAAATGAATTACTACAATATGGTTTCCAATCGAAAGGCTTTTGATAAAGGTTTTAGTTCTAAACTATATGTAGGAGGGTTGCCACCTGTTTGAATAATCACAATATGGACGTCAGGCAAGAGGGATTTAATAGGGTTTTATTAGGAAAATAATTCGAAGAGGGTTGCAACCTGTTTGAAAGGTCGAGTCTAAATTAGAAATGTTGAGCTTGAACACGTAAAGTTAGGAATTAACGGTTTAAAATTCAAAATTTTCAAACATTTCAATGAATTATTACAATATGGGAATCAATCGAAATGATTTTGAAATGGCTTCATTTCTAAACTTGATATTTAAAAAATTTAAAGTCTCTTGATTTTCGCATATTTTAAGTATGTTGAGTTGAATTAAAATAAGTTACACGTAATGTAGCACCTAGAAATATCATACACTCAGCGAAGCTGTTTTTTATTCCTTTATATTTTTATTATTACACATACACAGTATTTTCAATTTACATTCATTTTACAATTGATATATAATCTCAGCGAAAAAAATATAACGCATTTTTAACTAAAATAGTTTTTTTCCAAAAAATAACTAAATCAATTCATCCGAGCTTAAAAAGAAAGTAATAATAATCCATGCTTACATATGGCCTATTCAAAGTTACTAATTGAGAATAACTAAGGATAAGTTTCCAACCAAAAACTAACTGGCATTTACGTTAAATATGACTTCGTATTGAAAATCAGGGTTGCATTTACCATATTTAAATAGGCGACATCGATAAAAAAATGTTTTTTAACCATCAACCGGCATTTAAATTGTTCATCGGAAAATAAATTTATTTGCTCATTATACGAGTAAAAACTTATGTACATTTCTTTATTTATCTATATATGAAAATATATTGGGAAAATGATCTGGAAAAATTATCAGAAAAAAATGTATACAGATCCATAATTTACGACCCAATATTAAGTTTACGGGTCTGGGCATTTTTTGTGTCATTTCCAAATTTGAACTTTTACCTATAATGCATTATGGGCCAGCTGCTCATCAAAAGTAGCGAATATTTGAAACCATTGATCGATTTTAATGAGACTTCATACAATGGGGGTTTTTCGGGCTCACTGATTACTGAAGTCAGATTTGGATAATTCAAAATAGCGGACCCAATATGGCGGAAGATTTAAAAAAAAAATATTAAATTTTTACGAAACTGTCTAAGGGGCGGTTTATAGGGCAGCTAATTTCGAATCTAAAGTCAGATTTTGAAAATGCAAAATGGTGGATCCAATAAGGCGGATGACTGAAAAAGTAAAATATTAAATTTTTATGAAACTGTCTAAAATGGGGTTTTCGAGGTAGCTGATTACGAATCTGAATTCAGATTTGGAAAATTTAAAATTGCGGACCCAATAGGGCGGAAGATTAAAAAAAAAAAATTATTACGAAACTCTTATAGGGCGATTTATGGGGTAGCTAATTTCGAATCTGAAGTCAGATTTTGAAAATGCAAAATGGCGGATCCAATAAAGCGAATGACTTTTAAAAAACTTATTACATTTTTAAGAATTATTCTGTAGAGGGGTTTTTTGGGTAGATGATTGCAAATCTAAAGTAGTTTTGGAAAATCTAAAATGGCGGACGAATATAAATTCAATCACACTTTGTTAAATACATTTTGACATTTTTTTGGGCACATTAACCGTCACATAATTTATTTTGCACGTGCAAAACAAAATACAAGCTCGTAAACATCTACATATTGAACATTTTATCGGGAAATAAACTAAAAGAAATATATACTGTCTAGTTTTTGTTAGACAATAACAATAAAGTTAAACTGTCATTCCTCGATGTGGAACTTGCAGATAAAGAAGAATTTACAAAGAGAAATTAATAATAAAATAATATATAAAAAAAATTGAGAAATTAAAAAAAGGAGTCCAAATACAGCCCTGAAACCTCTACGTGATGGACCCTGGGTACTACATTTGTCATAGGCCAACTGCAGGCGTTACAGTAAAAATTCCTCTCTTACATCACGTATTATAAAAATTTAATATTTTGTTTAATATATTCGGCCGCCTTATTGGATTCATTACTTTGTATTTTCAGAAACAGAGCAAAATCAAATGTTTATGAAATTCAGCTTAAAACATTAATTGCTCTAAGAGGATATGCGGCCTGCAATACTACGCCAATACGCGTTGAAGGCGAAATTTTTGGCGTGAATCTTAAACGTGACATAAATTCTTTATAGTGCATACTGTAAGAAAAAAAAAATGATCCCAAAGCCATTTCAATTGTCATAGTTAATTGAAGTTAATGTATATTTAGTAGAACTTCGGGTGCTAAAAATTTTAATAATTTTAAGTTTTATATATTTCCTGTAAGCGTAGGAGTCAGTTTAAGGTTAAAATAACCTTAATTTAAAATATTAGCATTCTTTTGAAGAAAAATAATAATAAAAGGTTTATAACTACCTTTACAATTTATTTTCTACAAAGAGCAGGGACGCGATTTTCAGAGCTTTTCAAAGTTTGAGTATCTGCCTGCAAGGAAATAATTGAAGAATTCATTTGAATCGTGGGTCACGGTTTCCTTTATTTATATATAATTAGATAGTCTAGTCCATTCAATCAATTTCAGAACTTTATTTCGGGTAATTTTCGCAACTTTTGATTAGCTGCTGGCCCAAGGTGCAGTGTAATATTTATCAAATTATTGTTTCACAGCCTTTTATGGGTAAGCTTTTAATGATCGATAATCGCTCAATATGAAAAAATGAAATGATAAAGTGAAAAATAAAATTCAATAAGTTAAATATTTTATTTTTCACCGCATTATATCATAAAACGCTACTGCAGCAGGTTTAACTCGTACCTGAGCAAATTAGAGGCTCGAGACATCTCTTTGCATGCTCCTAAACCCCACTCAGCTAACGCCTCTGTCCCTATGGAAAAACCCCATAGAAGTTCCACGCTTCCTGGGTCTCCCGCAGGGATTGCACTAAACGATTGATTTTTAATCAATGAGTTAATTAGATTAAATTCAATCAGATTACACTTAAACATGATTAATTTTATTCTGATTAAACATTTAATCGTAACCGCAATTAAAAAAAAAGGAATTTTTAATCATTACCCCTTAATTTGATTAAGTAGGTTTGGTGATTAATTATTTATGCTGGAATTTTACTGTGCACACAAGGCCAGTTAATCGGGTAAGGAAGTCGGTTTTCCTTATAAATCTAAGCAATTTGGCGCGCATTTTCATTAAGATGATTAAAATTAACTAATCGTAATTACAACCGACGATTAACGATTAAAAAAAATTTAATCATTTATCATACAGATTACGATTAATTAATTTTAATCGTTTATCGCGATAAACATTTTAATCTTTAATCAGATTAACATTTGCCAACACTGTTCTCCCGTTAGTTGAGCTTGACGACAACGATTGAGGGGCCAGCCGATCTAGGCGGGATTGAGTAACCGCTACAACAACCACATAAAACGCTCCCTGAGAGAATTTGCTATGTTAATTTATAAGGCGTTTTACTTCTCCTATATTTTAAAACTATTTTTTTTGCATTGATAGTAGCGATTTGTTAATTTAAATATTTTAGCTGAAAATAAAAATGTATGCTACATTAACAACATGTACTAACAACGTTAGTAATATCAAGCAGAAAGTGAAGTATATAACCTACCATATTAACATTAGGTTGTATAGTAACCAATAGTCAGTACTAATATTTACTGGAACCTGCAAATTTTTACTGGAAAAGTGTATGATAACCCAACAAATTTGCAGGAGAGCACTGAATCGAGAGCGTAACAACACGGGAGAACTGTAAATCCTTGCTAGCGAAATTTCTAATAGCAGAAATTAGCTAGCAGAAGAAGAAGAATAAATGTCAAAAGCCGCCATTTTTTGAATTGGTTTAGCACAAATAAAAGTAAAATGAGTGGAAATCAAAATATTAGCTCTGATCCAGTACTCCATGAACTTACAGGATTTTACACGAACTTGCAGGAAGTTGCAGGAAAAATGTTCCCGTACTCCGAAATCTTCCAAAATCCTGTAAATGAGAGCGACTTTTGGAGAGTTGTGTAGAGAATGAAGTTGCAAGATTTTACCCGAACTTTTTCTTCTGGTAAAATCATGAAAAGTGTCAAGCAATCACTGGTTGAAGTTTTTACAGGAAAAATGGTTTTTTTGTCCCCGTACTTTTTGTTGTTACTCACTTTTTACTCTCACTTCAGAGAGTAATTTTGCTGTTTGACAGTTTTACAGGATTTTTCACGAAAAGTATTGGATCAGGGCTATTAATGATGTACTCTACTGTATAAGTGCTTGTGTGTAAAGCAAAGCGTTTAAAACTGATTTATAAATATTAAAATGTTTACAGCAGAATATCAAAACGGTGCAACAATTATTCACTTGCAAGTTTTTACTAGTTTTGTGTTCAATAACTTCTTCAGCTAGTTTTCTCTTCTTCCCAGTTTTACGCTCTATTTCGCTTTTACGCTCTCGCTGCAATGTTTTACTGGAGAAGTTACTATACAAACCTTTAGTAGGCGACAAGTAAGAATTACAAATCTTATTTCGCCTTTATAAGTGATGTATTACTTCAACTTATATCATATCTTACATATTTAATTTAATATTCGTTTCATCTAAGTGAGCGGTTGTAATGAACAATTAAGTTTTGCTCTTATTGTTTATAACTTTAGTGGGAAAAGTGAAGCAGCTTCATATATGTACATACGTCCATATGCAGCTCCTCAATTGGAAAGCCATTCTTCTTCTTATTTGGCGCTGTAACCGCCTAAGCCATTATTCACACTTAAATTATTTGAAGTGTTAACCGTTTTCTGCAATTACTCCTTTTCAGTGATATTCAATTAAAGTAAAGAACAAAGGTCCCTTCAGCACAATATCATTTTTCAGTTTCCTCTGTTTTGCTGTGGGTACATAATGGTAGTAAAGTCAGTCAGCATTTATACTTAGTTACTACATTTTACAAATATTGTCATGCGCTAACTTTCCATCTAAGGAAATTATAGGATATTATGAGGTTTGGTTTACCTTAACTAAAGGTAAAAAATGTTTGGGCAAAATGTTCAAATTCCTAACTGACATCCCTAAATGTTCTCTTTCCATACAATTTACGATATAAAACTTTGTTTACAATTTCATAAAATTTTTAAAAATGTTACAATTGGCGAAAGAGCTCTTTACATGCGTTCTGATATGTTACTACCCCAATAATTGTCTGGGGCTTCCATAAATCCAGCGCTCATTATAGGCAGACGGGTTTGGCAAATGGTTGCTATCAACCATCTTACAATAGCGTAGGCGAACATGATTTGCTATAATTTTTGTTACATTACATTAATGAATTAATGTTTTATTTATTTTTTTATATATTTTATTTTGGTCCGCTAAAATAAATTTTTGGACAGTTTTATATTACGATAAAAAACCCTTTGGAATATTACTTTGAATCCCTATCGGGGAAGGTGGTCAAATAGGTTGGAAAAAGGTATCACGTGATTTATGGATGCCCCTTTTGTTATGACATGCAGGTTCAATAAAGTATTACGTGGTTCGCCCTTATGTTTATGCATGTTAAACATTTTGTAATAAAACTGTTAATTTACCGGTATATTCTGCGCTGTTAACAAACCCTTTTAGTTTTGGTTAATACATAAAATGTTTAAATTTTTCGGTTACAAATTGTTCGGCAACAACCAGAAACGCCCTTTTGAACGCAGAGTTCAAATAATAGTATACAGTATTAAAATAGGTAGACAAGTAGGCATCAGACGGAATGTGCACTGTGATCAAGAGGTCTATTGTGGGTCTACTTCTTTTTAGGATGCTTTTAAAATTACTTGAGATCATTAAATTTAAAAGCAAACTCGTTGGGACTGCGTTTTATATGCTGAAATCCTGCACGACTTTCTCGTTGCATCTGAAACGGCGCATCTTCATTTTCGCAAAATGTTTGCGAAAAAACTTCACATTGATTGTAAAAGTTTTTCAGCATATGCTTATGGAGCAGGTGTTCATGTAGCTTTAATTGGAATATAGCTTTTTTGGCTAACACTTGGCACATCTCAGCGGAAAGCGGACGTTTATATGGATCGTAAGTTTTCTACCAAAATACAATGTAGTTAAGGTAAGTTTATTTTAGTTGAATTTTGTACTCACAATTTCGACTGCATCAGGCTGAAAGTAAAGATGTGTTATATTTAAAACTTGCTCTACAGCTTCAATTAGCGTCATTGGCTGTTTGACACCGCGCACAAGTGAAACGGCCACAAATGTATCGAATACACCACCAAGTTTAACGCCATATCGATTTTTCAAGTGGTCTACCAATCTATGACTGTAGTGTACCGCTTTGCGTGGACGCTCTGATTCTAGTAATTGTTTCATTTCCCGGAAAATACTGCCCAAAGCGATTATATCGAATATGTACACCATTTTGGGAGTGGCCACGGTCAGCACAGAAGTGCGATGTGCCCGTCCAAAGTCCACTGGTTCCATAATAAGGGCAACTACCGGTTGTACACGTATATCGGCTAGTGCTTTGTGATAGCGTTGGTCTGTTTGTGTGATGCACACTATAGCATTGAGTTGCTCATGAATTAATTCCAATTCATTGCTGCTAAGCGAAACATCGCTTTCCTGTCGCAGTGGTTTCTTGAGTTCAGGCGACGATATTGGGGACTTAGGCGCTGTATTATAACTGGTGTGACTCTCCTGATTAACTTCAGATGTTGTAGGTGAAGTGTTGCTACTATTTGGGCTATCCGAAGGCTCGTCGTCACGTATAATTTGCAGTTTTTTAATTTGAGGTAAAGCCAGAATTTGTGGCGAATTATATTGACAATTCGAGCGCTGATCATAAACGTTTTCTAGTTCTATTATTTTACGGTTTAGATCTATGAACTTTAATGTACCAGTTAATAATTCACTGGCAGTTTGGACCAGCAGCATTTGGCCTAATTGTAAAGTTATTCCCGTGGTCTCCATTTTTATTTGGCGTATGTACAGCTAGACGCAGCTCCTGATGCTGATAAAGAAATTGTTGTGGAATTGAGGATGGTGATGCCGGAATATATGACAAACAGAATTTTGGTAATTTTTTATTTGTTATTAGATATTTTGCACCATCAAATACTTTTATTTTGACGCGGCGAAACTGAAGATAATTTTTTTTTTTTT